ACAAGGTTGTTTTATTAACCACAACCTCTGAGATTACCTTCGTAATTGGTCACAGCACATCTGGGGACAGACTGGAAGTTTCCTTTGTACTGCATGTGTCTGAAGACACTACCTGTGAAACATTAGTTACTTTTTCATTGGGATAGATGAACCTGTCATCCCAACACATGATTTTTCCAGTTTCCCAATTCATGTGTGGTTTATATTCCTTGAGAAATGGCATTCCAAGAAGGACATGCTCTTTCCCTACTAGGGGTCCAATGTAACACTTGACTTGTATAATGTGCTCCTTGATTTCCATTTTCAAGGTAACTTTGCGGGTTACCCATTCTTCATCTTTTCCAGTAAACAAAGTGGTCTTGAACTTGCATTCCACTTGGTATGTTGGGATTCCGAGTTTTGTACCATTCATTCTGAGATGAGGGAACCTTCAGTGCCTGAGTCGATTCATGCCCAAATTCCTGCCTTGAAGTCCAGTAGAATGACCAATCCAAGAGGATAACAAATTTGCATATTCAATTCATCATCTATAGAAGTCCATTTAGCAGACAACATGGAAACAGGACTGACTGTTGCAGGAAATTCAGCAGTCCCTTCTAAAAACCCAACAACTTCTTTTCCTCCTGATTTGCTTCCCTGTCTCCAATGTAGGCAGTCTTGGTTCTGTCTTTGGTAATGACAATGCAAACATTGGAAAGTTGTTGCTTGACTTTGACTTTACAGTCACACTTGATGTAACCTTTGGCTCCACAATTGAAGCATTTAATTTCTGAACCCAATCAGCATACATTCCATTTATGTTTGTCAACATCCATTGCATCAGGATCTCAGGAGCTTCTGTGGTAATGAACAAATTTGCATTCATACCTGGATTCCTTTCCTTCTAGGATATGCTTAGTGGCGATTGCCATTCAAGCTTCTCCCGTGCATTGGATCCACTCCATCACCATGGTTGGTGCTCATCCAGAGTTTAGGACCCAATCATGAAACTCTTTGTTTAAGCCTTTCCCAAAGAGATCCCTGCTTCATGTGATTCTTCTTTCAGCTCAGCTTTGTTGACCAGCCCAGTGAATTCAGTGATGTATGACTCGAGTTCCCTCTTGCCCTGAGATATGTCTGAGAGGTGTAGGATAGCAAGGGCGGTTTGGTCGCTGGACTCAAAGGTGGCCTTTAACCTTTCCATGAACTGTTGAAAAGTGTCCATGTAATAGATAGACCTGTCAAGTAGTTAATTTTCATTTTGATAGTTCTCAGTGAACAAAACTGCCATGCCTTTTGTCATGTATGTGAGCATGAAGGATATCTTGAGCACTTCAGTATTGTAAATGTGTTGATTTAGGTTCAAGTATCCTTTGACCTGCATGATCCAGGTCTGAAGCCCATTGTGGCTTCTGTCATATTCACCAGGATGCCCAACATTAAACTCCTGACCTCCGTTGGGTGGGCAGCTCGAGTAGTCTTCATCTTCATCATCTTTGGCCTTTCCCTTACTGTTACCACTGGTGGGTAACTCTGGGGGTACAGCCTTTCCAAAGTTCCTACAATACCAATCTTGCAAAGCTGAGTCAGTAGGCATTCCTTGAGGAAATGGGTTGCTTGAAGTTGCATGCATAGCCTGGCAGAGCTCCTCCACCATCATGACTCTTTGTTCCTCCAACCTCTGTCTCATTTCTTCCTCCAAGAATGTTCTCAATGACATTTCCAGGACAGATTCTCCATGACCAATAGTCATGGACATACTTTGTACACAAGCTTCTTGTTCTTCTTTGAGGACTGATCCAAAAGAAGTCTCAGACTTCTGATCATCTTCTTCTTCTGAACTAAGTGCAATTTCTGATTCCCTAAAACAGGATAAGTAAGATAAGCATGGGTTGGTCACAGTTACCAATGGTCCTAACCAACCAAGAGGAATGGGTGGTAAAGGGGGACTCTGTCCAAGTCCAAGGGGATTTGTCCAAGGAGGAACTGGTGGTCTCTTCTTCTGTGGGTTAGACACCTTAATGGATGGTGACAACAAAGGCTGAGGGAGGATTTATTTCTCAAAAAAAACCTGTCAGCAATTTGAGGATAAGTGTGCAAGTGTCTTTTATGCATAGGGAGGCACAAGTGTGAGCTTAAGGGAGGTGATCTATTAAAGCATAATGGCTGCCTGTAGAGTGGTGGATTTGATTAAAGGTGGAAGGATGGAGTTCAATTTTGTTGAAGTTCAGAAAATCAATGGACAAGTAGACTTTCATGAAGAGGTCAACAAGTCCCAAAAGCTGCACAAGTTTTTCAATTTTGTTATGCCCAAGCAGAGTGACTTCGTCAAATGGACTAGGCATGATCCACACAAGGGGAATACTATGGGCTGAACTTATCATAACCCCTATGGCTCAGTTATTACTGAGGTCCAACAAAGGTTCACTCCTTCTGGTGAGTTCTTCTGAGATCACAACAGAGGAGGGTGAAAGGATGAAAGCAAAGGGATGAAGCTGAGTTGCAAGTAATTGAAAAACTGAGGATACAGGGGAAGTACTTGACACTTATATACCTGTAAGTAAGAGTACTATACCAGTTGTGACAGACACATCACGATGCATATCTGCAGTAATCAACAAACAAATCAGTCAAATAGATAAGTCAGAACAAGTCATACAGTGTCATATGATGGGGGTAGCAAAGGGGACAAAGGCTATACTGGCTGTGCAATCAATGTGCAGCAAAGAGCCTGACACTGGAGCAAGGAAACAACATATGAGTAATATAAACAAGTCATAAACAAGAAACATAACATGTCGTCCATCAGAGAGGGTGGTGGAACACCAGATCTTCCAGGGGTGCAGCATTAGTGGGTATTGGAAATATTGTGACAGCTGGAGATCCAAGTCCTCCTTGCAGCATCCAGACCCCTAGGATGGTGACAACTATGAGGGATGCAAGCAGGCATGTGACACACATGACTGCAAGGAGTCAAAAAAGGAAGGACCCCTGACATGGGCATAACAAGCATTATCACAATGACATGTGAGCATGGACATCAAGAGGGTATTTGTGTTGGCAGGACAATCAATGGACAGATTAATGTCAATGGGAACACCAGGGATGGTCAATGAGTTGGACCTAGATGTGACCTGCTGAGGTACTTGGAGGATATTCATGATGATAGAATGATCAATGGACAGACCACCTGGATTTAGATAAATCAAAGCTCATTTAATGAAATGTACTGCTGGAGGATGAACCATGTTCAACATCCATAGAAGCAACATCAAGGATGGTCGATGAGTTGGTCCTGGATGCTACAGTAGCATCTAACTGCAGCATTTTAAGGGATGCCAATAAAATCCTATTTTCCACACCCTCATTTTCCATGGATTGGTGATGTTGCTGCGACAGTTCTTCATTGCATTGATGGTGAGCATGAGTAGACAGTTTCAACAGAACACCCAAGATGGATACATTCATCAGAGGATCTCATGAGTGGCCCCTGCAGCAACTGTGAACACAGCACTGACAAATCTTGTACTGTTGTTGCCTGGCCATGATTGCACTGTAACAAGATACTCAGTACCACAGATGCTAAGGTGAGTTGTTTAATCAATAATGCAGTAAAATGAAACCTATTGCAGCAATTTCCTTTTTTGTAAGGTGCTCATTCGAACACTGAGGGTGCCAGTGGTGTCTGTCCCTATGCAAGATATCACTGGGGATTGACAGTATGATAGACTATTTCACTGCTCTGCCATTGTCATTTGAATGATTGACCATCCATGGCAGGATTACCCCAGTGATCACTCACCATATATGAGGGCATCAGGCAGCAACTGCATTGGAATCTGCTGTGATAGCCTTGAGCCCAAAATGAATCGCACCCTTAGCCCCCATTCAACCAACTCCAGTCTATGTGCAGGGCACAAGAAAGGTAAATCTGGCTCTGGACATCTTCCCATTCTAAGCCATTGACTTCTTCCAACTATCCACATTCTTGCAAGTCCCCAGTCTCTGCCTCCTTCTCAACCTGATTTAATTGTAAATGCCATCACTGCAGGTACTTTGTCACTGTTCACATCTCCCTTATACAACATGCCACCAACTGCCTTGTCAGTGAACCAACTTCTGGAACCTCTCCAAGCTCAATGCAGCTGATGATGGCAACATGGCCAGTATGCTATTACAATGCCAATTTACCCTGCCAAGATGAAGTCCCTCACATGTTTGCAGTCATTAGCAAGAGGTTCATAGGCAGGCCACTTGAGGATTGTGCAGCACACAGCTACTACATTAACAGAAATCATCAACATCTATTTATGTATATGTGCAAATGAAACCTCTGAGAATGGTGCTGAGCTGATGTGCTGTAGCTGATGATGTTTACAGTACTCCTAGTGGCTCAGCTGTCACTACAACATTTGATACAAGTGCAATGTTGGTTGAAGTGAGATAGCAAGTGAGGAAAAATGTTCAATTTATGCTTGATATTGCTGTGGCACACATGCAAAACAATCATACAATTTACACTCAATTTGCATTCCTTTTGCGTGTGCTGCCCTGTTTATCATTTGGTAAGGTATCTGCCTAGTAGATAGCATGATGGTATGTATAATTTCATAAAGGTTATTTACCTGCAGATAATTATGGGAAATTAAACTATTGACAAGCTTGTAAATTGAAATGAAATTCAAGTATTGCTCCTGCATTGTTCACACAACCCCACAGACAAAAGTTGAGCTTTGAATTGGATTTTACGCTGTGATAATATGAGAACTAGGATGAACCTTAGCCATACTTCATACCAGCCAAATTCTTATGCAAATTTCACAGTTTACATCAATTTGTACTTCAGAATACTGGTGCAGAGAACCTTATATTCCTGTGGTGTGATAGTCGCGCTGAGACGCCTAAGAGCCATGGATGATGCAAAGACAGGGAACTAGCAATTGAAGTGGAAAGTGTTATAAAGGTAGGAATCGTATTGCTGCAAAGGGTGGTGGTCAGTGCAAAGGGTACGGAGCTGCGGACCCGTGGTGATCGATATCAGCCCGCCAAGATTTACTCCAAGAAATGAGCAGGTGGCTGTGCCCACTGCCACTGCAAATGCGAAAGCAGCTCCTGACTAAGCGGAGGCGCGTGTAGGAGCGGATGACTCGAAGCTGTTTTGCGGATTTGTGTAGGTCAATATGAGCCAAACTAGCAAAATTCTACTCTGGTGCGCTTATTCATATCAATCAAATGGAACCGGTCGTATCCCAGGCCCCTCGATCATTTTCCCTCCCTCCCTATCCTGCGCTGCAGCAAAGGCACTCGGGATAGGTATCCCACAACAATCTCCCCACCCTTCATGAACATGTCCATGATGTGCATTCTTGTCGCCCGCCTCAGATGGCGGAGGGGGTCCCTCGTATGGGAGGATAGACCCAAAGAGGAAGTGTTGGATGACAGGAAGTTTACCTAGTACCTCCGCTTTGTACATTTTGATCATTCCCGCGTTGACTTTTTCCCATGTTTTTACCTGTGCGACGAATTAGAGAAAGGGTGTAATTGGGGATGGAGTATATGGCATCGCGGGAGATCACATACAGCTGAAATGTCATCTAACATAGGCGAGTGCCATCGGAGAGAAGCAGTTTTTATCTGAAATGCCGGTCAGAATCACGACCATCGCTGATAACATACGAGTAGAGACACAGACAGAATTGATAAACTTGATACAAGCAAAGTACATATAGTCGTTCGCAAGCTCGTCGATGACCTCGGCATCGTGGATCGCCTTTGGACGCAGATACTTGTGTCCTGGACGGCATGGCCAGTCAATATTACATTTCAATCTCGAACGGAACGGAAGGCCCCAGGAGAAACGGAAAATGACTGCACCTCTTAGCTGAGCAGATCCGAACAGGAATGGCAGGAAATGGTAGTCATCGAGACCCCATACACCATGGGACCCTGCTGGCTCAAGCCAGTACGTCGACTGGAGAACGCGCATCACCTGGATATAGCTAAGGTGTTTTCCCCTCAGCGATGCATTCCCCATCGGCCACGGAAACGAAACTCACCGCCAGAACGCCCGAATGACCAACGCGACGTGATCACTCTCGCTAACAACACCGATCCGGCCCAAACAAATCCTGGAAGATAGGAAAAATATAACAACCAACCTGAACAGTGTACCGTTCGTACTCACAGCCAACATAAAAAGTTTAGCTCCATCCCGCTTCCATAATCGATCCGTTCGCGATTGCCCCACGCATTCACGAAGTATGTCGATACTTCAGCGGTGGCGTCTTCTGGGAAGTGAGGCAGAGTAGCATGCAACGACGGGGCTAGCTATGTTCAATGTATGGAGATCAACGGCATCATGGTCTACATCGGCGGTGGACCTACATCCTCCACTTTGTCATAGAAGGTCCTGAATGCTGGATTTCCGAAACGTGAAGCTTTGTTGTCCACGGGAGGCGTATCCTTGACCACATCTTCGATCTTGTCTAGAACCTCAAGAACGGCCTTGACGCCCTACTCCTCCGTAGTGTAAGACATAGGAACATGAGGAATAACGCAGAGGCGCACGGGCGATATGGACACTTCATCAGTGAGCTTCACTCCGATAACGGAGTTGTTCAGTTCCTCGATGTAGCTTACTATTGCATTGTGAGTGCTGGACGATTGAAACGCCGTCAACTGCAGACTAGAAAGAATGCGTTTGCCGGGTACTTGGAACGTCATGGTGCTTTTGGTACCGTGACTGGGTCGTCGATGTCTAACTGCATGAAGTAAAATGACCCCTATCAAGAAGACACCAGTTCTGGTATACACTACTTCTTCGCCGACGCCTTTCCCTTGCCTTTCGCAAAAGATTTGCCCTCGAAGCCTGGTCTGGCCTTTGGCTTTCCTTTTCCTTTCCGCTTCTCATTCCGTCTCTCGTGTCGCATGGCAATGTTGTCCGTCCTCTTCTTCTGTCTAGCAGCCATCTGCGCCGTAACTTGCTCCTTCCGCTCATCCCTGCAGGTGAAGATGTAGGCAAGCTCAACCACCAGATGGGGGTGAAACAGACTCACCATTTCTTCTTACTCCTCACCTTCTCCTTTTCTTTCCGCTTGACCGCTTTTTTCAGAAGAGCTTCGTTATCTTTCACCTTCACACCTTCGAGACGTGCCTCTGCTTTTGACCACCGTTCTTTCTCCTGCGCGGATTTACGTTTTTCCTCCGGTAGAGATGCAAGCTTCTCTTTGCGTGCTGACAGCTGTGACAACGCGTGGGTCGGATTATTAGATGACTTTAGCTGCGCGGCTTTCTTGCTCGTGGAACCTGCAATGGCGGAAAACGCAATACTCGTGAGAGGGGCATCATGACTATTAGATAGTCCTGCTGAGAAGCCGGAGTCGTTCACGAGTAATTGGTTCTTGTCATTTCTCATCAGATAGACATTCTCGCAGCATGGCATAACTTCACACACCTTGATAGACGCAGAACTCGCTTGTGCATCCACATCCTTTTTCTTTCCTTTCGCCTTCTCCTTCTCGGCTCTCTTCCTTTCCTTTGTCTCCTTCCTACGCTTTTCTCGAAGCGTCGCACGCTGCTTTCTTCGTTCTTCCAGCAATTCGTCCTTGTTACCTGGCTCGCCTCCACCACTTTGACGCAACGCCGCCATACGTGCGTGAAGTTTTTCCTTGAGCAACGTTACGCTCTCGGTGGGACGCATCGGTACCATTTCAATCGGCGTTTCCTCGTTTGCTGCCCGCGATTCCTCCTCATCGCCGTCTAATTGCATCGCGTCATCCCTTTCTTCTTCATCCTCGTCTTCGCCCCCATCTTCAGAGTCAGAATGTGGCGAATGCGGAGGTGTGGAAACGACATGTTTTCCTTTATCCGTTTTTCTAGAATTTTCGAGTCGAACGGCAGTTTCGTTTTGAATGTCCACGATAGACTTGTGGTTATCCGGATCAAGCTACAGCAAATGAGGGTCAGGACGCCAATGTCGAAACCAGCTTCACCGCGAATAGATCGCTAGCGTAGCATCCACACCTTTTCGCGGCGCGCCTTCTTGGACGCCTCCTTCACAGATTGTTTGGGTGCCTTCTTTTTTTTGCTGTGTTTCATGTATTTATTCGATGCCTACGTCGCATAGAGGGTAACAACACGATAAGTAGTATGAACATGGACTACGCCATACCTGTGGACCCCCTGCATCGTCTTTGATAAAGTAGTATTTCGGAGGGATGAGACGAAGCAGCGCCTCAAAAGTGTCATTGTGAGCTTCGATGGAGGCACGAAGGGTGTCGGCTGGCGTTGTCATCGTCGTTGGGTTCGACTCGAATACCTGCTGTCCGCACGGTCACTGACGGCTTACATCAGCACCAGCTATGACGTGAACAACGTCTTATGGCTCAAGTTATGCTAGATACAACGTTACAAGCTATGCATCATGTTTCACAATAAGCTAGAGTTCCTTGCACCGCGCGCGCTAACAAACCATCCGTCTTTGCACGCATCGCGTTTCCTGCTTGCAACATCCAACCCGTAAAAGTTCTGCGCGGGGTTGCTCAGGAAATGGTAATACGATGAGGCTGCTGTTCAGGGATGACCTGGGGGAACGTGAGCGTCAACAGGCCATTCTCCAACTTGGCCTTTACATCCTCAGACTACAACCCCATAATCAACACGACTTCTTGTGGACGTCTCGTAGTTGAAACTTACCTTTACGCCAATAGGGATCTGGAGTGTACGAGAGAACTTTCCTTGCCGACGCTCGCGAAAAGCATATCCAGCTTCGTCACGAGACTCCGTCTTCTTGAATTCACCAGAAACCGTCAAGCGGTTCTGCTGAATCTCGATGGAGATGTCCTCGGGTTTCAATCCGGGCAACTCGAAGGTTGCAGTAACAATATTGGTCTCATTGTTCTCATGCAAATCCATCCTGCAGACAGCTATTAGCACGTCATTTGGAAATTTCACAAAGAACACATATACTGTACCTAGGACGGAACACGCTCTCCCTACCATTGTTCTCCCGTGTCGCGGCTGATGTAGGTGAGATTCGTGCAGCTAAAGCGTCATCGAAGAGACGGTCAAATTCGGTGGAAGGATCGTAGTAGTAGAAGCGCATGGTAGAAGATATGTTATGAGTGTCGATGAGTGTTGTGTCGTTGTAGTAAGTCGTTCACGGCGAGTACTGACCTTACCTTGACCTCTTATATACTCATTCATTAGCCATTCCCCCGAACTTTCTCGATGGTTGACCCTGGACCTTCGCCGACGTTCAAGAAGTTTCAGGCAGGTGTTGAGTTTCCCTTTTGGTAATTACAATCCGTTGGCAAATATTTGGCATTCATCGGAAAAGGAAACCCCCTGTCCCCACACGTACCCGGGTATTCGAAACTTCGAGGCTAGTCCAGCTCCACCTCGTGTCATACACCGTGCTTTTGGCGACCGCCCCTTGGTGCGAGAGTGCTCGACATTCCACGAGGTACGATTTGAAGGAATAACCACGATACAACACAGTGGATTTTCTGATAGCAGTACACCGACAACTCATACATCCTTGCTACTCAACATAGTGCGATACGACACAGTACAATCCTTCCTGACCATCAGAGTTTGGTGAACCTGAACAAGAACTCCGTTGGGTAAGCGGGTTCCTTCTGTCCGTCCCATGGAACGGGCTTAATGAGGATCTGAAAACGCAATACGCATGAGCAAGACATAGCCATGTCGGGATAACCGACAGATCCTACCGGCTCAAACTTGTCCACTGGAGGCGCAGTCCACGCAGATCCCAAGTCTTCGCTTTGGACACTATAGTAGAAGAGTCGTGTCAGGCTTTTAATTAGCATAGGCCAGTAGTACTAAGCGGCTTACAGGTACGCGTCTTGTCCGGGCACAAACCTGACAACCCATCTCTGGGGAGCCACAACCCATGCGACAAGGCGCCCGCCGTCGTTGACGAGATCGCTGATCTGGTAGAGATCTCTCTCTGGTTCCATCAAGGTGACCAAAAACTGTCAAAAATCAACCTTCGGAACGGGTCCTTAGGGAGCCGTGACTATACTCACAGGCTCAGGTTGGAACGCTTTGGGAAGGGCGTAGACAGGCTTGGGTGGGGGAGGGACAATTATCTCCCCAAGACCGGGTTTAACGATAAACGGGAAGGCAAGGACTCTGCCATCGAAGGTGCGGATAGCATATTCACCGTTAGGTAGTTTGATGGACATAGTAAGAATGAAGCGTCAGTGGAGTTATAGACTGATGGAACACAACACTGACTCCAGCTGCCCTTTTATCCTTTCAAGCCGCACTGCATGATACCCCCTCCATACGGCACCAACGGCCACAAAGGTCACCGGTGGGCGTACGTCCATGCCTGCACTGGGTCCGATCTTCCATTCACCGTGTCAAGTACTGAATAGGGGTGACCCGAACACGAGGTGTCCTTTTGGATTGCCAGATTTTTGAACAGGATAGAACCTGTGATCACATGAAGTACGGCATCAGCAGATACACGGTCACAAGTGCATGCCTACATTGAAACTATCTTCCATTGACCCGTGTCAAGTACTGAATAGCGGTGGCCCGAACACGAGGCGTCCTTCTTGCCAGATTCTTGAACAGAACAAAATTTGTGATCACACGAAGATGATATGCTGGTAATCACCGCATCGCTTTGACCAACCGGGAAAACTGTTGATAGCCATCGGTTCTCTAGCCCGGTCACATAGGTATTGCCAAATATTGTCGAGTGGCTTATGTACTTAGCAAGCTCCAAGTATGGGGTCCATTGGCAGGTGATCTCAGTGATAGCGTCATTGCGGGGTTCAACCGATGATAAGCGATGGGCACGAAGTCCCCTTATAGGAGGAATACTGAACGTGCATGCTGTAGTTGGAGATTTATCATGAGCGACTAGGGACGGGCAGTCGAAGTCGGTAAAGATCGAGCAGAAGCGCATGACAGGAGATACATTATGCTTGTGTCGCTGGGGTTGTTCAAACGTTCATGACAAGCACTGGCCTCGTCGTGACCACTGTGTTGAGTTCCCTTTTTTGGTAATCAACATGTCAAAATCGTCCAGGTATCCGAATCAGAAAAGGGAAACCCCTGAGCTCACAGGAGGGCTGCAACAAAAGCATGATCTACTGGAAGAGTGATCTCCTTGTTTCAGCGTTTTCAGTTCCGTGGAATACCAATTTATTCGACCGCCCGAGCATGACTCGATTGCAATGCTGGAAGATCATCATACGACAAGCTGGATTTCAGGAGAGAAGTATACCAGTGACTCATACAACCTCACTATTCAGCACAGTGCAATATAACACCCGACCCTGGATTCTTGAACAGGGAAAGATCTGCGTACGGATGAGCGGCGATAATGGTTACCGATGGGCGCACGTCTATGCCTACATTAGTGCATCTTCTACTCACCGTGTCAAGTATTGAATAAGGGTGATCCGAACACGAGGTGTCCCCCTAGAATGCCAGACTTCCTGTAAATTAGTAGCCCCTCACGGTAATACTAATCAGACTCGGTGTGCCTCCGGTGCACTGCGGACCAGGTGGTAGTGGAGCTTTGACACATGACCCATGACAGTTCTAGGATCCGTCTACGGAGACGTCCGATACGGCCGGCTGTGCATTTGACTTTGGTAGCTTGATGGGCACTTCGATGAATCCTGCTGTAGATTTGAGAAGGATACCTCACCTCACCTCAGCCTTTGGGCCAAGTACGTCATATGCACTACAAAGTCCAGAGAGAGCATCAGTGGTGACCCTACGAGCACTGAGGTCCTTGCGGCTTGTGTTACTTACAAGTTACACCTTGTTCAGTTCGGTTCTCGAGCTTATCTTCGGGACGACTTCCGAACTCCTCTGCGATCGCATTGGAAGGCATTTGCAAGTGTCTCTTGAAAAGGTGGAATTCGGTGAAGGGATCATAGCAGAAGCACACTACTGAAGATACGTTATGAGTGTCGAATTCGTGTTGTGTCGCTAGGGAAGTCTTTACTTGTGTAACCATTTCTCGATGACTGAGGCTGTACCTCCACTGACGTTCAAGGCAGGTGTTGAGTTCCCTTTTTGGTAATCGCGCTTGGTTGGCAATTATTTGGTATTCATCAAAGAAGGAAACTTCCTGTCCCCCTTATTTATTAGTGGTCGAAATTTCAAAGCCCAATGTGCCGCACATTGTACTTTTAGTCTTCAATAACCGCACCTGAGTGCGAGAGTGCCAGAAATTGCACCAGATACGAATTGAAGGAAAGGTCGAAACAATCGCAACACAGCACATTGGATTTTCTGATAGCAGTACACCGACGACTCATACATCTTTGCTATTCAACACATGCAATACGACACAGCATACTTGGCAATCCTTCCTGAGAATCAGAGCTTGTTGAATCTGAACAGGTACTGCGTTGGATAAACGGGGTTCGTCTGTGCATTCCATGGGACGTTCTCAACACGGATCTGAAATGCAACACGCGTAAGCAAGATATATAGCGGCTCAGGATAACCGACAGATCATACCTGCTCGTACTTTCCCTCCGGGGGCGCAACCCACGCAGACCCCAAGTCCTCAGTTTGGACGCTATGGTAGGAGATCGTGTCAGGTCTCCAATCGGCACCGGTCAATAGTACTAAGCAGCTTACACGAGCGCGCCATCCTGTCCGGGCCTGAGGATCCATCTCTGGGGAGACACAATCCATTCAACAAGACCACCGTTGTTGTTGACGAGAGCACTGATCTGATAGAGATCTCTCTCTGGTTCCATTAAAGTGACCAAAAACTGTCGATACTCAACCTTCAGAACGGGTGCTTAGGGAGTCAGGCAGTCACGACTATACTCACAGGCTCAGGCTTGAAGGACTCAGGAAGAGCGTAGACAGGTCTGGGAGGAGGCGGGATAATGATGTCCCCAAGGTCGGGATGAACAATGAGGGGGAAGGCAAGGGGTCTGCCATCCAAAGTGTGGATGGCGTATTCACCGTTAGGTAGTTTGATGGACATGGTAAGAATGAAACGTCAGTGGAGTTGTAGACTGATGGAACACATCACTGACTCTAGCTGCCCTTTTATCCTTTCAAGCCGCACTGAATGATTAGCCCCCCCCGGCACCAGCGGTTACAACGGTCACCGGCGGGCGTACATCTATACCTACATTGGGACATCTTCCATTCACCATGTCAGGAATTGAACAGGGGTGATTCGAACACGAGGTGTCCTTCTGGAACGCCCGATCCTTGAACAGGACAAAGTCTGCTATCACATGAAGAGGAGATGTCGATAATCACCACATCGCTTTGATATTCGGGTGCTTCTTGAACATGTATTTAGCAGCTCCAAGTATGGGGACCACTGGCAAGTGATCTCAATGATTACGCCATCGCAGGATTCAACTGATGAGAAGCCATGAGTGCGGAGCCCCCCCCCCCCAAGGGAGGAACACTGAACAGCGTCATGCATAACCTAGTTCAAGGTTTATGATGAATGGTTAGTGTTTCCGCTTTTATTGGCTACAAGAACCATGGCACCACAGCGCCATGAAGTGGAGACTTGTCGGAAGACAGCTTGTACAGAAGAATATACATAATTTGATCCTACCCGAAAACCGACGGTAGGTACACTAGGGCCTGGGGCTATGTATGTAAATAGCCCTGCATGGCAGCACCGAGACTCACCGCGCCTTCGATACACTATGGTATCACTGATTCCGGAATCGTGCGGCAGTCGAGGCACGACACATGGCAGGCAAGTACAACTTTAGGAGCTGCCCACGGAGAAGTCCCACTCCGTTTTGGATCATGCTAGTTTGATGCCCGCATTGTCCTCTCTCGTAAATTCGAAAAGACGCATCATGTGGTATTTGTTGTTTGATCGCGATTATCTTATCGAATTCTGAATCCACGGTCAAATCTGCCTGGAGCGATGATCTTTCTTTTCCTCCAAACAAGCGTGGGGGCACTCCGACGGATTCTCCTGCATTTATGAGAAGGATATCGCCTCAGCCTTTTGGATCAAGTACCTCATGTGCACTACAAGGTCCAGCAGAAGAATTGATGATGGCTGTCTGGGCACTGAGGTTCTTGCGACTTGTGCTACTTACCAGCTACACCTCGTTCAGTTCGGTGCTCGTGCTTATCTAGTTTGAGACGATTTCAGCACTCCGTCGTCGTATTCCATGCGGCCATAGTGTTTCACGATAGGCGTGCTGTACGATTGACGAGAGAAGCCGACATTATTTGGACGACAGAGGAAGAGAGTTCGGATGGCGTGGTGGGTCAGGATACTTTTCTTGTGACCTCCAGCCTATCCAGCCTCATCACGACATTCCATCTCGTTCAAACCGTCACGCCAAATCTTGACGAAGATATTCTTGGATTTCAATCCGGGAAACTCGGAGGCTGTATATGACCTCGGAACTTAGAAAGGTTGAAACAATCACGATATGGCAAAGTGGATTTCTGGTAGCAGTACACCGATAATTCATACAACCTCGCTACTCAACACAGTCTGCTGGGCAATCCTTCTCGACCATCAGAGTTTGGTGAATTTAAATAAGAAGTTCGTTGGGTAAGTAGGACCTTTCTCTCCTAGCCATGGAACTTGCACAATGCGGATCTGAAACACAGCGTGCATAAGCCAGATATGAGCAGCTCACGATAATCGACAGATTCTACTTACCTGCTCAAACTTGCCCTCTTCGGGGGCAACCCATGCAGATGCCAAATCTTCGGTGAGGACGCTATAGTGAAAGAGTCGAATGAGGCCATCGATCAGCATCGGTCGCTAGTACCAAGTGACTCACAGATACGCGTCTTGTGCAGGCACGAACTTGACGACCCATCTCTGAGGAGACACAACCCATGCAACAAGACACCCACCGTCGTCGACGAGATCGCTGATCTGATAGAGATCTTTCTTCGGGTCTATTAGAGTGACCATAAACTGTTGACACGCAACCTTCAGAACAGGACCTTAGGAAGTCGGGAGAACACTCACAGGCTCAGGTCGGAACGCTTTAGGAAGGGCGTAAACGGGCTTGGGAGGAGGCGGGATGATTATCTCCCCGAGGTCGGGATGAATGACGAACGGGAATGCAAGGGATCTGCCATCGAAGGTGCGGATAGCATATTCGCCATCCCTTAGTTTGATTGAAGACATAGTGAGAATGAAGTGTTAGTGGAGTTGAAGACTGATGGAATACCAGACCAACACCTGCTGCCCCTTTATCCTTTCGAGCCGCACTGCATGGTATCCCCCTACAGTACCAGCGGTCACAGTGGGTGGGCGCACGCCCATGCCTACATCCGGGCATCTTCCATTCACCGTGTTAAGTACTGAATAGAGGTGACCCGAACACAGGGTATAATCACTACATCGCTTTGGTCAACCGTTGATGATCAGCCATCTCGGCGCTCGGCTATGTGTCCAGGAAATGTGGTTCATGAATATATGTGTGCTTAGCAGTAAGCTTCAAGAATGGGATGCCCTGGCAGGTGACTTCAATGACCAACGCCTTCACAGAGTTCAATCGATCCCAAGTCATAAGTACGAAGTCGGGATACTGAATAATGTTATGCATGTTATAGCTACTCACTATACACTTTATTGACTGCCTTGACTGATATCGATCAGAGCACTAGATGAATCTAGAGTGACACCAGGAACCACCACACACCTCTCCTTGTCAGACAGCATGAAGGGGACAATGGTATCTGGGTCGATCCAATCCAAAAAAGAGTCACTGAGGGCTGGATCTCTGCACATACATCAGTAAATCACTTTTGCTGGCCAGAGCTGGCCAGAGCTGTCCAGCACTGGACAGATTCCCTAGGACTACCAGCTCACAAAGTGGTCTACTGATGTAATAACCTTGCACATGTTCTACCCAACCCCCTAAGAGCTAGTTCAGAAACCTTGGGTAAGTTGCAATTAGTTCCTTCAATGCTTGTACATGTTTTTCCACTGGGGCAGTTTGCAAAGTGAGTTTGAATTGGGTTTGAAACATGTCCTGCGATGGATTATGATGATCTGGATCAGCTTAGGCTTGCCTGGGTATCAGCTGCCACCATTGTTGCCCTCATATCCCAGTACACTCTGGATTCACTAACTCACTCGATGCCTAATAAGACTAGTGCTCCCACTCCATGAGTTCATTGGAACCATGAAGAAACTGCTGCTCTTGTAAGGTTCCTGCACAACAACTGGCATGAGGCAGGTGATAATGGGAACTTCAAGATGGCTACATATCAAGCCACTGCCCTGCATATTGCCAACTATTGCACAGATGGACCTCCTAAGAACTATCAAGTGGTGAGAAACAAGTGGACTGGCTATGTAAGTCAGCATTGTAAACTGCTTGTGATTTTTACTGATCTTCTGTCATAGATTTGAAAGATATATCATGATATTGAGTACTATTGAGCACAACCATCTGGAGCCCACTGGGACAATGAGAAGGGGGCTAATATTCAGGGTCAGCATGCCAAGCAGGTGTTTGAGGATTTTGTGAAGGTATTTTTATTTTTATTTTTTAACCCTGTGGCTTGATGAACTGACAATTACTCTTAGAGTCACCCCCTCATGTGCCAGTTCAAAATGAGTGGATGGGATTTATATCCCTATGTTGCAGATATCATACCCCATGGTGGTGCCCATGGGGCCAACACCTTTAGTCCAGATAGTTCCAATGCCACCACTGACAGCCTAGACAATGGAGACAGTGGAGTGCCAACCATTGTGAGTCAAAGTGAGGTTCAGTGGTGAAAACCAACCAAAACCAACACATGTTATGCCCGAGCGCGGTGACTTCTTCAAATGGAATAGGCACGAAGCGCGCGAGGTGGGAGTCTACGGGCCGAACTTATCGTAACCCCTATGGCCGAGCTATTGCGAGAATCCGACAGAGGTTCCTTCTGCTGGCGAGTCCCTAAGGTTGTTCGCGCTGAGAGAGAACAAGGATTAAAGCAAAGGTATGAGCTCAGTTGCAAGCTATCGAAAAACTGAGGATACATGGTAAAGTACGTAGGTTTATATACCTCTAGGTACGAGTACCCTACCAGTCGCGACAGACGCGTCGCGACGCGTATCCGCAGTAATCAACAAACCAATCACTGAAATAAGTACGAGTCAAACGGAGTCGGAGATGGGGTAGGTAAGGAAACGAAGGCTACACCGGCTGCGCAATCAATGCGCAGCAGGGAGCCAGACCTCGGAACTATATTACAACATTCAAGAAACATAAACGAGTCAACAGGAATCAACGGAACGAGAAGTGGACATCTTGACCATCACGAGAGCGGTGAACGTCACGGATCGGATCACTATTGATGAGTCTCGACAGGCACAGGAAGAGCCTGGACAGCGGGTGATCCGAATCCCCCATTCAGCATACGAACCCCTAGAACCACCACGACGACCAGCGACGCGACGAGGCACGTGACGCACGTGACCACAAGAAGTCGAGAAAGGAAGGTAGTGGACAAAAAGCGTAACATCACCCCCCCCTCAAGGTCCTCAGACCCCTGAGGACGACGGGGCATTCGTGAGTCGGGCGGATAAGGGTCGGCGAGTAGTAAAAACGCGGGAGCGCGTTCTAGTGGCGATCGGAGACGATGGCGACGGAGTTGGCGGCTCCTCGAGGGCCGGAGTAAACCGGGAGCCACGTCCGTTCCTGCACGACCAATGTCCCAGGTAACGGCACTGGTAGCAGGCGTGGGGATAGAGGGGGTGCCCAGCGGGCACAGGAGACTGTCCTCCGAGATAGAAGCGAAGTTGATCCGCAGGGACGGGGACGAAGGGAGCACCAGGGAGAGGGTCGGCGGCGTGGACGGCATTGAAGTAGTTTTTATGTATTCCGTTCCACGACGCGTCCTGTAGCAAGACCTCCCAGGCCGAGTTGTTAGTCCCTGCTCCCAATCGACTTCCTACCTCTTTATACAACTCTCCGGAGTCTACGAACCTGAGTTCCACGGCGCGCCACTCCTTCTCCTTCTCCTGATCGGTGATATCCTCCTTCATTCCGGCTTTTGCCGGTACCGCCTCCTTCGGGACAAGCCGATCAAGAATGCGAGACGTCGGAGGAGCGAGGAAGTCATTAAACTGCTGCTGACGTAAGTGATGATACGCTCCTCCCGTAATAGCTTCGGTTATTTCAGCCGAGGCCTTCTCGAGCATTCCGATCATGATCACTTCCGAAAGGGGAGCGACCCCTGTTAGCTTCCGCGTACGAACTTTTGAGACCAACCCGTTTATCACGTCTGATGCTCGGTAGATCTCAGACAGCAACCCAAAATACTGATCTTGTTCTGATGAGCACCCGTCAATGTGGTCCCCGACGTTGAAGAGGTCAAGCGCCCTAACAACGTCCACGTATTCACTTGCTGGGACTGGTAGTCTCTGCTCGTCAGACCGGGCATTGGCGGCGGCAACGGAGGCGAGGATTTCGAGGGCTGCCCTGTCGCCTCTATCACCATAGGTGGCGAAGGCGGGGCGTACGTCGGCAGATTCGGCAACATCGGGGGGACCGGGCTTGGTTGCTGTACTATCGGAGTCATCATCAACGCGCGCTTTCCCCTTTCCCTTGCGGCCACTGTCCCCGTCGCGGGGGACCTTGACCTTTGGGACGGGGACCCTCTTGACAGAGATCCCCTGGAGTGGACGCGGTCCTGTAACCCTGGAGGGAGCGGGTCGTACCGACGAGGGTTGAGAGACGGGGGAGGAGTACCCTGACACATGAAAACCGGCGGGGGAGGTCGGGGGAGAGGACGGTGTATAGATGGTGATCGGTGGTATGAGAGAGTCGTAGGAGTCGGAGTGGTAAAAGGATTCTGCGAGGTCGGGGTAGTCATTCTCGGTATTGACAGATCGTGGGGAGTCCATTTAGTTTGGGAGGTGACGAGCTAACTTGTACTGCTCTAAGGCGTCCTGGGCGTGGTCTTTTAAATGTTCTTCGGGTTCCCACGTATTTGACGAATGGGGGAAACCCTTCCACTTTACCAGGTATCGCCTTTTTCCTCGTCGTCCATCAACCTTGTGATTGATTACTGACTCCACCTCCCATTCTATCTCATCATCCACTAGTTCGGGCAGAGGCGCTGCGGGCGCAGTTCCATATGTCTCGTTTTCGACAAATGGGAACAGCCTTGACCCATGAAACACAGGATGAACTTTCCAAGACGATGGGAGATCCAACCGGAAGGCCACCGGTGACACGACCTGAGTCACTTCAAAGGGGCCGAGACGTCGGGGCGCAATCTTGTCGCACTGGTTCCTGATACGCAGGTGCGACGTATCCAGGAGTACCTTATCTCCTATCTTGGGCGCAACATATGTCCCTTTTGACCGTGACTTCATCAGATCCTGTGCTTTCTTGTGGGCAAGGATGGCGACATCGCGACTAGCTGCCAACTTTTCCAACCTTTCTTCGACCGAGGGGACCGGTGTCATTTTTACCTCCGGATACGGGGAGGGGTCATAGCCAAGGATAAGCGAGAAAGGCGACATTTGATGGACAGAGTGGATTCTGGAGTTATGAGCGAACTCAGCGGATGGTAACTTACTGCTCCACGAGTTCGGAAACTCGGAACAATAAAGTCTCAGGTACCCTTCCACTTCCTGGTTAACACGTTCGCTTTCTCCATTCGTCTGCGGGTGATAAGCGGTGGAGAGTTTAGTCTTGATTCCAACGGCCTTGTATAACTCCTTGGTGAAAGACGACGCAAACTGAGGTCCTCGATCAGAAATTACCGTTTCCGGCAATCCGAACCGGGCGTAGACGAAGCGGTGGAACAGCTTCGCCAATCCTTCGGAGTCTATCGTCTTGTGACAAGGTACAAACAGGGCCGCTTTGGACAGTCCTTGATCGACAACCGTGAGAATCGAGTCATACTTTTCAGTTCCGGAGACGGGAAGATCCGTTATGAAGTCCATCGAGATCCGTTGAAACGGGAGTACTCCTGTCGCAGTGTTGTGAGGGGTAACGGGTGGTCTCGGCGGGTGAGTCACCACTTTACTTCCCTGACAAACCGGACATCCGGCGACATACGCCTTGATATCTTTTCCCATGCCTTCCCACCATACCTCCTTACGCATTTTGGCCATCATCGCTTTCTGCCCGGGATGCCCGGACGACTCCGCATCATGGTAGGTTTTCATGCAGTGTCGTCGGTGGTCGGGAGGGATATACAGGCGAGTTGTCCCGTACCGTT